TTTCTTATTTTTATGTAACTTGTTTGGTGCCAGAAAATTTCATTATTTTAGAATTAAGCCTGGCTTAAATCCCTGGCTATGTCAATTACGTGGTTTGAAGTACGTAAATTAGTACACCCGTATATGTGTCACTAAGTCCTTCTTCAATAGAAGTGTATTGCAGCTAGAACTGTACCGCTTTGGACATCTGAAGATCATCCACGTTTCTTTCAGATGAACAATTTACTTGCCTTTGCATGTGTTCTGACGGATGCCAATGGTTGGGGCAGGATACGCTCACCTTTTCGTGAACACCTGGTACCATCACTGATTGATAATGATTCGGTGGTACTTTGTAAGTCCCGCTGAATCCTGGTCATGTGACCTTGCCTAAGATGTTGTTGGCCTATAGCCCGCGCCTAACTAGTATAAAGTGTAACTGTTGATTCAGTGATAAATTAACGTTTTAGAAATTGAACAGATCAGTTTTAAATCTGATACATATCTGTGATGGAGTTCTATTTTGTACAGTCCTTCGTTGAAGTTTTTTTTAAAAGTATATCACTGTTCTCGTCACTAAATGGTTACACTACTGTCAACGTGACGTAAAACCCACGCGCGCACGCGCGCACCCACGCAGTCTCTCACTTTGATATTCCTATTACAATACATGTACATTAAAAGCCGTTAATGACCCCGGAATGAACCGATCACATAAAATTCAGCCGGATTTACCGATTATCGAGTCAGTAGTAAAGAGTAATGTCCCTATGTGTGTATGTATACACGTCACAAACGGTGCTATAGGCAGGACGGGCGTTGTGTCCAGTATAGAGGGGTCTGGATTCGAGATTCGAAATTCGATGTTCAAATGAAACAAACTTTAAAAACTTGCCTTTATAAACCTTAAGGGAAATGCCAAAATAACAAAATAGTTAAAATGACGTCCTGCATATCTGCCGGAAGGTGCAATTGAACATAAATATCATTTAATTTTGTATTTCGAGTACAAAGGACAAACCGCGTTTAACTTTATTTCAAATAACTGTGTGAGTGCATTATATGCCACTAGCACTGAATTGATGTATCGCATCTATTTCTAGGTGGGGGCGTTTGGGTAGACTGGTGTTTAAAGCGTTAACTCTTTGCGCCAACTAAATCAAAATATATTTTTTTTTAAAACACAAAAAAACCTCTTCGCGCAAAATTCCTCATAGGGGTACAATGCCTGGTGTGCTCTGTCGTGTGTGGCTTGAATATTGCTAAAAGCGGCGTAAAACCACACTCACTTAATATATCTATTGTTTGGTTTCACCAGCGTAAACTCATCGAAATGTTACAGTATACCTCAAGGTTAGTGTAGATTCTAATTGTTCGAAACGTGTATAATAGCCTAACATACAACGTATAAGTATTCGTGTCAGTGAGCACATATATATTTCTACACTCATCACCCGATACAGTAGCCGACCTGTGGGGTTCCTGAAGGTCAAGTACTATTAATTCAAGATTACATTTCCGAGTAAGATTTCGGGCGTGGCTTTAGCCTAGTTATCCCATTTCTGTTGAGAAAAACTGTTCACCTGGATTACGATTATAAGTACAGAAACTTGTCGCGCTAACTTTTCAATACAAACTTTTTATTCGCTGCGATTAAGGGTTCGTATTACGTGATGCTCCCGAGCTTGAATCCGATTCCTCGTGGTAATCCTTTCACGTTTTAGTGCCACTCTGTAGCAGTGCGCCGTAACGGATTATAAAACTTGATAGCTCCTAACATAAACAACATCTGTTTGATTTGAGCTTGGCTAGCTCCAGGTATTGTTAATTACATTTTTTTAAAATTTGATTTATCTCTAGTTTGAATTGAGACATGTATAATGTCAGTTATTGATATTTAATTTTACTAAAACATAGTTTTAATCAGTAACATAAATAAGATACTTTTTAAAGTTAAAATAGCCCCTTAAGAAGCGTGAATATATGGTTACGAAAAGCTTTATCAGTCAGTTGTTTTTATTATTACTTTGATGTACACTTGTTCTACTTTTCTAAGGTAAGTGAGCGGTCTAATAATCTAAAAAATCGAGATTCAGCATTGTGTAATCTGGCCTACAATGTGTGGCATGCGTGGGGTCCGTTCAAGAGCGATCTTTGTGCTGAGGTGATCGTAGCTCCAATGCTGTAACACAGGCCGTAGTAGTCAGTTGGCCAGGGGTGAAAAACAAGATTTTCGTTCCCACATTTTCCTGTATAACTTAAACCTTTTCTTTTGCAAAAGGAGGTACATGTACACAAATTTCAATTTGTAGTAAGTTTGCAAGTGTGTGCGTGAAGTTTCAGGGGGTCAAAATTGCATAAATTGAAGGAAAAATGCATAATTTGACAAAATTGGCTGTAACATTCTTATTAAGTCATTTAACTATCCAAATTATGTCTTTGATTACAGGTAATATATTTGGTTATCTGAAATTGGCAAAAGTAAACCCATAAAGAAAAATGATGTTTCAAGTTTTTCTATGAACATCTATGGTGGCCATGTTGAATTTCAAGATGGTCGCCTTTTTTACCTGTTTCAAAATCAAGATCTAATATAGTGCTTCAACATGGTCATGTAATATATCATATGAAAGCTTTTTACATTGTGTTTTCAGTGATTACGTTATCCACTGACTCCTGTGGTAAAGCGATCCCCAACAATAAAAAAAAAGAAATATTAAAAGCTGATTTCTCTAGCGACACAAACCCACCCCCAAAGCAAGATTTCAATTAAAATGGACATTGTTTCACTCAAAATTGTAGATATACTGCACTTTTGTCTGAGCATTTCTCTTGTTTCTCATTTGAGTGAAGAAAACAACGTGTGAATACTTGTAGTATTATGAAGCATTAAAAATTATATCACAGAGCCAAGGGCTGTGAAATAATGTCACCTCTAGTCACCGTCAGAGGCCATCTTATCTGGAGAGGTAGGTAAGTTGTTTCTGTTTAGGCATGACATACCACAATTGCATCCAAGGGAACACCCCATGATGTTCTTGGCGCAGCTACACCTGGATGAGGAGCATCTGTCTGTTGTGCTTTTACTGGTGACACAGTGCTGGCATTCGTTCTTGGGTCATTGGGATGGGTTCCATGACATCCTCAGTAGACGTCCACCTATACCCTTCTGGTGGGGGAATGTCAGCCTTTCCTTTGTGGGCAGAACACCACGTGATGCAATGGTGCTGACATCTGAGTAGAGGTTGTGTGGTGGGAGTTTCTCGCGGTCTCCAACTCTATGGAACATGTCAGCTGTTAGTGTATTAATGCTAGCTGCAGTCGATGCTGGATTTTACGCTTTGATGACAAATGCTTCTGTCTTTTTCTGTTGGTTGCAACAAATATGGTTGTGCGATAAATATGTTCCAGGTCCACAACCTGTGACTGCATGGAATGATGGTAGAGCTGCTACAACATCTGAGAGAATGAGAGATTGATGTACATCATCAAATGATATGCACCCATCCATATTTGAGCAGAAAACCGATGTTTATGATGTATCAACTGTGCTAACACATCAGTGCCTCTGCTGTGAATGACAATGTGGTCGTATCCATTGCAGGAGACATCTATGACTTTCATCATTGACATTCATCTGACTTTGGAGGTTGGTTGGTTTCGATGGAGAAATTAGCTTTCAATGTATCATTTGTTTTATTGTTAGGGATCAGTTTGTATTGGGTTGGTGTCGCTAGAGAAATTAGCTTTTAATATTTTTATTGTTAGGGATCACTTTACCACAGAAGTCAGTGAATAATGTACATCATTGAAAAAACAATGTAATAAGCTTTTATATGATATATTACATGACCATGCTGAAGAACCATATTAGATCTTGATTTTAAAAACAGGTCAAAATGGCGGCCATCTTGAAATTCAAGATGGCCACCATTGATGTTCATAGAAAAACCTGAAACATCATTATTCTTTTTGAGTTTACTTTTATAGTGTTTTAAAGCATTGTTGCAATTACCCCACTCATCCACTGCATCAACATAATCTATGAATCTGAAAATTCACGCACGCACTTGCAAGCTTACTACCAATTGGAAATCGTGTGCAGATACGTCCTTCATGCAATAGAAATAGTTTTAGACATACAGAAAAAAGTTGGAACGAAAATCTTAACTAAGCCTCTTTCCCTCTGGTGGCCAACTGACTATAGCACTAAGATCGCGTTGTCAATCAGGGCACTGGCTGCTACCGCGTCAACTATGTCGGCCTGGCAACGCGAGAGTGAGTGAGTGAGTGAGTGAGCGAACGAGCGAGCGCGGGCGGGCGTGCGGGCGGGCGGATGGATGATGGATGGATGGATGGAAGGATGGGTGGTTTTTAGTCAATATATGCGTTTCTGTCGAATGACATGAATTTATAAAATCTGACTGTCTCTCCAATTAAGACAACAAAATGCATAACAACTTCCCCCAAGTGTTGGATATGTTGCACAGCAGTTTCCATATAAATGTGCACGAAGTCACGGGACTGTCATTGCGCGGTTGTAATTAACATCATTATTTTTATAAGTATGAAAGCTGATTGTAAATGACTTAACAATCTAAACGGGAAATGATGACGCGACGTTCTATTGTTGTCACTATCATAAGACCAGGAATTTCCACGTGATTGACATAAATCTCCCCAACAGAGCAGAATATTAACAAATAACATTGTTACAATCGACTTCAAAATGAGAACAAGTTTCCGCTTTGCTGCGCAATATACACACGAGTTACAAGGAAATATTTATTAGGAAAATCATCATGACAAAACTGAACCTATATTTGTTAATTAAATCACAATCCCTCAACTGGTAAGAGTGGGATACAAACGTAACATATAACTGACAAATCGATATCATTTTTAGTCCACGGAATCTATTTCTGTGCAGTACTGTACATCGGGCACAGCGCTCTACCGCAAACTCATAAAGCTTGTATCGGAAAGCTGGAAGGTGGTTGGCTGAGGGGCGGAGCTACGATGGTTGATTGACGTCTCGATGAGATAGGCGTGTGGTGGTATTATCCCCAAACAGTCGGAAGCCGCGAGGACTGACTCTGCGTCAAATCCGATCAGCGTGGTAAGGATACAGAATCAAACGTAGTTTAGTAAGATATTGTGCTGTCTCTCGTATAGGATTAGACAACATCGAGGCTGGACGCTACGGAGTGACAATATCAGTGGAATACATTGCATAGTGTCAGTGACAGTTGCACGTGTGGACGGTGTCGTCAACTTGTACATTTCAGCACGTGGAGTACCTGCATGATACGCCCGTGACAGTTTGGGCGAGAGTGTGAACGGTAAGTTGATATTGGCGACAAATTAGGATTAAATCCTTGCGCGCTAATTGATGTGCGGTGGTAGCTTTTTGACACTTGATCGCTAATCAGGTTTTTGTTTTTATACTTAATTAACTAGATGAGCGGATTAATTAACTGATATTGTTATCATACAGCAAACTATACTCAGTTCTGATATGAGACCGTATCCGTAGTTATTTGTCCAACCACTTATCAAGACACCATCAACAAACATCATTTTATTCATCGTCAATGAATATAATAAGGGTTAGAAATAAAACAAACTGGTTTGATAAAATGGTTTCACATATAATATAAAATGTACAATTTGTTGCGAGGACTGAATGACCAACCATTAAACCGTCACTGCAGGGTGAGAGCTATGATATAATGTACTTGTTGTTTTATCCTGTGCAACACAACCGCTATATGTAACAACGGTTAATTGTTGATTCCAATCAAAAATCGTGGTTGTCGTTTTTCCCACTAGTTTACTTTATAAGATATGATCTGAACTCCGTGCTAAAGAAAGCTCTATTCCTGCTTCGGTAACCAAACTCTGAATGGATCCTTTGACGGACGTCTTATCAGCGGTAACTTTCTGCACAGGACCGCAATTTACGCAAAAACACGCTGTATATGAAATATGACACTTTGATATGTCAGGTCTGATACCCATGAAAAATATTTAGAAATATAAACAGTGATGTTACTGTACGATTACTGGTAAAACAAATAACCCTAAATGCTAGGCCTGTGTTGGGGGCAAATGCTAGTCTCTCCAAATAGGCTTGTGTGAAAGAGTTGATAAGTGGATGTGAAAGGTATTCAATGAGAGTATTATATAGTTTATTCTTGAGTTTAAGAATAAAAACATCTGATGTAAATTGAGAGTTTGACTTTTGGACTTTTGGATTGGATTTTTGTTCATGTAGAGGTCAGGGTTTGGGCGTGGGGTGGGGGTCTTTAGATTTTGACATTTTGAAGGGGAAAAGACAATTGTAAGGGGAATAGGGGTTGGGGGGGTGGGGGGAGAAGAGAAGGGGCTGGGTGAAGTTTTGTCACATGAAAGAAGGAAGTGGGGGGTTGGGGGGGGGGGGGGGGGTGGCAGTATCAAAGCTCAACCTACAGAGAATATGGTGGGGAAAGATTTCAGAAGGGTTGTATGGGGAAATGAACTGTTGAGAGAAAGTGCTGAGCAAGGATTATCTTTGTAAAGTATTATTTGTGTGGGAGGGACAGTTGTGGAGAAAGTCTTTGGGAAATAAAATACAGACAATAGTTAACAAGTGTTTAGAAGGGATTTGGAAACTGGATTAGGAAAAGTGAATTGAGAAAGAATACATAGTGTATCACTGTATATATTGGCAGTGAAAGTGCACAGGGAGGGAGGGTGTGACAAAGGTTGTATAGTAGGGAAGTGTTACAGAAAGACTTCAGACTTTGATGGTCAAGGCATTGGGTAAGGAGTGGGAAAATGGTTGTGTGGGGGAGTGATAGAGAAAGACTCTCAAATATGATGCAAGTATTGTGAAGGCATTTTGAAAATGATTGTGGAAAAGTGGTAGAAAAGTATTGGGAAAGTGTTAATAGCTTAGGGAATAGGAAAGGAATACTGGTATTTGAAAGTAGTGGTTGGGACAGGGATGGTTGAGGGGGACAGGGGATGGTTATGGGGAGGGAAGGGGATGGTAGAGAGGGGGAGGGGAAATAATAGAGTGAGTGAGTGAATATGGTTTTACGCCGCTTTTAGCAATATTCCAGCAATATCACGGCGGGGGACACCAGAAATGGGCTTCACACATTGTACCCAGAAATAATAGAGGAGGACAGGGAATTGTAGAGGGGGGGGGAGGGAATTGTACAGGGGGTCATGGAACTGTACAGGGGGAGGGGGGCAGGGAATTGTAGAGGGGGGGGGGGGGAATTGAAGAGGGGGGCAGGGGATGGTAGATGGGGGGAATTGTGGAGGGAGGCAGGGAATTGTAGAGGGGGGGCATGGAATTGTAGAGGGGGTAGGGGATGGTAGAGGGGACGGGGGATGGTAGAGGGGAGCAAGCACAAACTGAGGCAGTAGGGAGTACTGCAAGTAGGGTGGTAAACTAGCAAAGGGAAAGAATGTACCAGTGCAAGAAGTGGTGGTCAAAACAGGCGGTTGAAGGGGATGTGGAAATTTTATGAAGAAGGCCTTGGGGAAAGAAGAAACAAAAGTGTTTTACTGAGTACTAAATAAGGAAGTAAATCAGAAAGTGGTGTAGGGAAAGCAAATGAACATTTATTTACCTCACAGTCAGCAATGTTCTGGTTGTGTCACAGCTGTATGGGTAAGGTGAGTGAATGAATATTGTTTTACTCTAAGTACAGCAATATTTTATAATGGTATAGGAAGAGATTAAGGTGACAAAGGATTTTGAATAATTGCTTCTAAGCTTGTTACGAGTTCGTCTGGGGTTTGGTTTAATAATGTCCTCTGGGTAATGAGCTGATACTGAAGCAAATCATGAATGTACAGCAATAGATATAACTCAGTATAACTCGATCTCACTTTAATCCATATCATATGCTTACCGGGTATCTACAGTGAGTTAACATTAATCATGTTACAGGAATATGGTATTGTGTCATCAAGTTGTGTTACTTAACATGTATTTGATCCGACATGGGCACAGTATGGAAGATATTTTTGAATGTTTAGTTTTTTTCTACACATGTTAGACACAACTATATATACAAACAATCTATTAAATAATGGACATATCATTGATGTATCATCATAGCACATGCTTGCCTGGGGTAGTGGGGCAGCCTCGTGGTTGAAACGTTCGCTTGTCACGCCGAAGGCTCCGGGTCGATTCCCGATATGGGTACAATGTGTGAAGCCAATTTCTGGTGCTCCCCACCATGATATTGCTGAAATATTGCTAAAAGCGGCATAAAACCGTACTCACTCACTCACTCATGATTGCATGAGCTAACAACCTATATCATTAAACATTTTATTTGCTGATCAACAGCATGACACAAACTTGCACAATTTGTTAAATGCAATTACAATATGCAAACTAGTGTCACTAAAATGTTTAGTTCAGAACTTTTGAAAGTATGCCATGACACACCATCAGACTATCTAAAATGTATATTAGACCCTTTTGTTAACCATATCAGTATTGTGGGAAACTTTCCCATTTCCAACACTTCAAACCTCATCCATGAATTATTCCCATGTTTGTTCCTTTCTTTCAAATCTTCCAAGTCATTCTGTGACAATAAACACTTCAGAGCAAACACATTTCAAGGCCATTCGTTGCCTCAGCAAAGTCACATATTGATTTCCAATCCTCACAGAACAATGAATTTTACTTTAATGTCTTCATATACGTATATTTCACAAGAAAGTCAATGTTCCTATTGCATGAACGAGACAAGCCAGAGGAAGGAAAGTATACTTAGTCATGCCATGTCGCAGTGTCGTGCATCACTGACAGTATGTGTGGGAAGTGAAATGTACACTCGGACACGTGGTGTTAACGTGGTGTTATTGGTTTCGCTGCTCTTCTGACTGATATGTTTTGAATCACTGAAATAACTTCCATGTTTGTTTTTCTAGAAAAAGAGTGTAGCGTTTGAAATATGTTTCAGCAGATATGCTACATCTATTTTTTTTCAGAAAAGTAAAGATTCTGTAAATCTGGACTTAATTCCTTGACATTTTCTTTGCATGAGTGAAATGAACATCAATTCGGGAGACTGGAAACGTGAAATAACTTGCATAAAAAAATTGTTTTCAAACCATCAAGATAATGCAACACATGAGCTTACATTTGAATAACAAAAATGTCAAATAATTTGAAATTTTAAGTTTATATGTTCTATAAAAGACTCAAGTTCCTGCAGATAAATCAGAAGAATGAATGAATGTGTAATACATGCCAAAGTGTATGTAGTTTAATTACAAATGTCAGAACTGTGAAAGCTATGTACAAATATATAGCATGTATACATTACACACGGTGGCAGCACAGGAACATAGTTTGTAGTACTGGGAAAAGCCATTTCAGGTGTTTGTATGGAGGATCAACATATGTTTCAGCTTACCCTGAACTGTTTTGATGAAGCCTAACATCAATAACAGATGTTTTTTTCCTTCATCGCAAGTTTTCTTATTTTCAAAAGCCATTAAGAAATGTCTTTACCTTTATTTAAATTGAACATGTCAAGTAAACATGATTTAGTGTAATATTAATATGTGTAATGCATGTATGATTGAAAAAGATTTTTTTAAATGTTTTTTTACAGTAATTCATACATTCTGTGAGTTTAAGTTAATTAAAAAAAATACTTTGTATCTAATTCGAACTTTCATTCAGAAGTTCTTTCATAGCATAAATAACTCTTTCATTAATCAGTGGTAATGATGAAAATAACAATAAATCATTGACCTATAAAAATATCCAAGGCTTAAAAAAATTGATGATTTAAGTCTCCGTGTATGAAGCCTTAAACCAGTTTGAAAATCAGCTTTAATTTCATTTGCTGCAATCCTCAAAAACTAATTTTTAAACTGATTCAATTTGATGTGTAATTCTTCCATGTGGCTTGCAGCAAATTCTAACAAATTTGTCTGTAATATCCCATGTGGAACAATTATCTCTTAATAAGCCTAAAAAATTCAGATCTCCATTTGAACATAACAATCCACTTTTTGCATCTCTGCTCAAAGATCCCATTAAGAACACCAAGAAAATGGATTCGAGCCCAACCAGGAGGAAGGTATTAATTATTGATAATTATGTGTAATGTTACTTTGAGGATCAGTGAGGCAAACATTTTTGTTCTGGCAGAAACCCAGGAAATTCCAAAGCACACAAGATTCAAGGATACCGGACAAGTCAGGATAAAACTTTGGCGAATTGATTTGGTAGACTTAGGGCATTTCACTCACAGACAAAGGAATTTAGGAATATTTGTTCAGGAATTTATTGAGGAGTTCTGGCAACAGG